CTCAACCCCCCCTTCCTAAGTACTTATTTTCAGTCCCGCTCCAGAGATCTTCACTGTATGGTCCTGCCAGGCCCTGCACAGCCTTTGCAGAAAAAATTCCACCTATATGTGACAAAAAATATTGAAAAAAATACATATCTAGAATGTAAAACAGGCCTGCTAATTAGTTAATAAGCGAATTATGGTACACTTCTATGTCATGAACCCTCCAGATAATTACTGAGGAATGTGTGAAGGCTTTATGGCCATGACCATCTGGAATTCTATGTCAAAGGTTATCCAGTACCTGGCTTATTGTTCATGCATGATGTGACATTTCATATTTAGCAATCTGTTCAGATTAGTTATGATGTCAAGTTTACCTAATATTTGTAATACTGTTGACCAATTATGCACTCACCGGCCACTTTATTAGGTACACCTTGCTAGTGACAAGAAAATATCCCCCACACCATTACACTACCACCACCACCAGCCAGAACCATTGATACAAGGCAGGATGGATCCATGCTTTCATGTTTTTTATGTCAAATTCTGATCCTACTATCTGATTGTTGCAGCAACCAGTCTGACCATTCTCCTCTGACATCAACAAGGCATTTTTGTCCACACAACTGCCGCTTACTGGATATTTTCTCTTTTTCGGATCATTTTCTGTAAACCATAGAGATGGTTGTGCGTGATACTCCCAGTAAATTAGCAGTTTTTTAAATACTCAGACTAGCCCATGTGGCACCAACAACCATGCCACGTTCAAAGTCACTTAAACTCCCTTTCTTCCCCATTCTGATGCTTGGTTTGAACTTCAGAAAGTCGTCTTTATCAAGTCTCGAAGCCTAAATGCATTGAGTTGCTGCCATGTGATTGGCTGATTAGCAATTTGTGTTACCAAGCAATTGATCAGGTGTACCTAATAAAGTGGCTGGAGAGTGTATATCTCTCCTACACTTTATAATTACATAGTTACATAGGAGATTAGGTTGGAAAAAGACACAAGCCCTCCTATGAGTGTGTATGTGTGTCTGTGTGGGTTTGTTTTCCATTTCCCTGCAAATTATTCTCGTCAAGGAAGGTACCAGAGGTTTTTGAATTTGCCAGTACTCTCAGCTGTTACCACTACTTGGAGAAATGCTGCTCTGATTGTAAAGAACCCTATCAGCAATTTCAGATTAAAGTGGTTCTAAAGGCTGGAGGTTTTTTTTTACCTTCATGCATTCTATGTATGATGGTAAAAACTCTCCTGAGTGCAGCTCCCCCCTCAGTCCCTCTAATACTTACCTGAGGGCCATCTCAATCCAGCGATGTGTACGAGAGCATCGGCTCTCCTGGGTCTTTTCCCCCTAATTAGCTGAAACACAGCCACTGGGGGGGTGAGGCCAAGCCATGCTCTGTGTCTCTTATAGACACACACAGGTGGTTCATGAGCAAGCATGCAATCGGCAGGGGAGAGGAGACAAGACCACTGTCGGAGGATCCAACATATTTGTTTCGTTTTTTTTTTATTGGAACCTTTAGTATCATTTTAACTATATTTTCCCCCAGCTTTAAATTGTGACCACATATCCTGACCAGGGACCTAGACCACATATCCTCACCAGGGATCTAAGGTTAAGCAAGTGGTTACTGGCTTTACAGTCACCGTTGATTAATTTCTATATAGTGATCATGTCTTCTTTGTAATGCCTCCTCTTTAAGGGAAATAAGTTAAATGTACTTAATTGTTTCTCATTCCTCATTGTACATGTTACAAAACATATATTTGTCACTCTTCTAATAAATGAGAGTTTCCTACACATGCAAGTCAATAAAAGTCTGTGTAATACCATCATCAGACGAGTGGTCTTGGCTGGATTCCATTACACATATTCGCTACTAGCTTCATTCATTCCTATGGCTGGATCCAAATCTTCCAGAAGGATTGGGGTCACCGTGACTACACACTATTACATATTTCACTGAATTCGAGTGAGCCTGTGCTTTCCTCATGCAGCCCTAGCAGCATATACCCACCTTTGCTTCTCTCTCAATCAATTTAAACTACTAAATACTAAACATTTTTTTCTTATTCAATAATGCAAAACGTTTTTAATTTTAATTAAACCCCATCTGGCATTGGCTCTTAAAAACTTGACTGTGCAGCAAACCATGGTAGATGGTCCCGCAAGTACAAACTTCCCAAGCACAAAGTCTGTCCTTCAGCAAATGACATAGCACATGTGCTGGGGAATTTTTCTTTTTGCCCACTGTACCACCCATTGGTGTCCATCTGCTCCAGGTGGTGTGTTGAGCACAGAGCTCATTTTTTCATCCAAGAAGAGTCTTTTTCTGCTCAGCCATGACATTTTAAGGAGGAATGGTGATACAGAGAGTAACAGTAATTCAAATTTCTGTAAGTGTACCTGGCAGGTACAGCAGAGGACAACTGTTAATGGTAAGCAGTTAGTTTTTGAAAAACAAAATGAAGTGGCTTGTGTGCATAGCAGAGTTCTTTAAAGAAAACTTGGCTGTAAGGTGTTTTTCCAAAAGGCCAGGTTAGAGGAATATTACAAGCAGATAGAAGTCCAAGATTTTTCTTGTAAAGTTACCATACAACTCTTTCAACATGTTTCCAGGCGCTGATGCATTTTATTGGGTAGAAGACAAACCAATAAAGATGGGCTGGTTGCTGCAGTAAAAAGTCTGGACTGGCTCTGAGATTTAACGCCAGAAGCATAATTGATGGAAATGTGAAGCAGGTCTTGTGGGTTGAAGAGAACCAGTCATTACCAGGTTTCTGTAAGAACCTAAAGATTCAATCTTAAATGGTCAAATAATACATGCTTACCTATAAAAGGCTCACATTTACCGCATGATTTAGCTTCAAAAGTCAAAACATTTTGTTTTTAGTTTTTACTTTTAGGTCTTGTTGAGAAGAATATCAAATTGGATGCCAGTATTTTTTAGGGGCTGTAGGGATCAATGATTTCTGAAGAAACTATGGTGGAAGTCATCTATAGCAGTCTTATGTGACTGACTGTCTCAGACACCAAGTGCCTAGTCTCCAACCATGCAGTATGTCCAGTTTTTGACTATTTTCTGTAGCATTACATACACTAAATGGTATGTGCAAAGATTTTGATGATGCCATAGGCCATATTAAAGGCCCTTCATATCAGCTTAGTTGACCATCACTACTCTAGTGCAAGCCTGAAGCTGGAGCCAAACTATTTGAGGTAGATGGTGCTGGTGAACATTTTGGTTTTGTGCTGCCCTAAGGAAGACTAAAATCAGGCACCCCCCCCCCCCATCTAAATTTGTCTCACCCTTTCATCTGCAAACTCCACCCCTTCATCTTTAGGCGCCACCTCTTTCTATTAGAGCTCCACCCACTGACAACGATGGGGCGCTATTCCTCCCACTGACACCAATGATGGGGCACGATTCCTCCCACTGACACTAATGATGGGGCACTATTCATCCCACTGACACCAATGATAGGGTACTATTCCTCACACTGACACCAATGTTGGGGCACTATTCCTCCTTCTGACACCAATGATGGTACCCCATCATTAGTGTCAGTGTGTGAGGAATAGTGCCCCATCATTGGTATCAATGGGAAGAATAGTGCTCCATCATTGGTATCAGTGGGAGGAAAAGTACTCCATCATTAGTGTAAGTGGGAAGAATCATGCCCCATCATTGGTGTCAGTGGAAGGAATCATGCCCCATCATTGGTGTCAGGGGGAGGAATAGTGCCCCATCATTGGTATCAGTGGGAGGAATAGTGCCCCATCATTGGTATCAGTGGGAGGAATAGTGCCCCATCATTAGTGTCAGTGGGAGGAATCATGTCCATCATTGGTGCCAGGGGGAGGAATAGTGCCCCATCATTGGTATCAGTGTGAGGAAGTGCCCCATCATTATTGTCAGTGGGAGGAATTGCACCCCATCATTGGTGTGTCAGGGGGAGGAATAGTGCCCCATCCTTGGTATCAGTGGAAGGAATAGTGCCCTATCATTGGTGTCAGTGGAAGGAATAGTGCCCCATCATTGGTGTCAGTAGGAGGAATAGTGCCCCATCATTAGTGTCAGTAGGAGAAATAGCACGCCCATCATTGGTGTCAGTGGGAGGAATAGTGCCCCATCCTTGGTATCAGTGGTGTCAGTGGAGGAATAGTGCCCCATCATTGGTGTCAGTGGAAAGGAATAGTGCCCCATCATTGGTGTCAGTGGGAGGAATAGTGCCCCATCATTAGTGTCAGTAGGAGGAATAGCGCCCCATCATTGGTGTCAGTGGGAGGAATAGTGCCCCATCATTTGTCAGTGGCAGGCCCGGAGGCATAGTGCCACATCATTGGTGTCAGTGGGAAGGAATAGTGCCCCATCATTGGTATCAGTGGGAGGAATAGTGCCCCATCATTTGTGTCAGTGGGAGGAATCATGCCCCATCATTGGTGTCAGTGGGAGGAATAGTGCCCCATCATTGGTGTCAGTGGAAGGAATAGTGCCCCATCATTGGTGTCAGTGGGAGGAATAGTGCCCATCATTGGTGTCAGTGGGAGGAATAGTGCCCCATCATTGGTGTCAGTGGAGGCCTGGAGGCATAGTGCCCCATCATTGGTGTTAGTGGGAGGAATAGTGTCCATCATCATTGGTGTCAGTGGGAGGAATAGTGCCCCATCATTGGTGTCAGGGGAGGAGTGCCCATCATAGTGTCAGTAGGAGGAATATAGCCCCATCATTGGTGTCAGTGGGAGGAATAGTGCCCCATCATTAGTGTCAGTAGGAGAAATAGCGCGCCATCATTGGTGTCAGGGGGAGGAATAGTGCCCCATCATTGGTGTCAGTGGAAGGAATAGTGCCCCATCATTGGTGTCAGTGGGAGGGCCCCATCATTGGTGTCAGTGGGAGGAATAGTGCCCCATCATTGGTGTCAGTGGCAGTGGAGGAATAGTGCCCCATCATTGGTGTCAGTGGGAGGAATAGTGCCCCATCATTGGTGTCAGTGGGAGGAATAGTGCCCCATCATTGGTGTCAGTGGGAGGAATAGTGCCCCATCATTGGTGTCAGTGGGAGGAATAGTGCCCCATCATTGTGTCAGTGGGAGGAATAGTGCCCCATCATTGGTATCAGTGGAATAGTGCCCCATCATTGGTGTCAGTGGGAAGGAATAGTGCCCCATCATTGGTGTCAGTGGGAGGAATAGTGCCCCATCATTGGTGTCAGTGGGAGGAATAGTGCCCCATCATTGTGTCAGTAGGAGGAATAGTGCCCCATCATTGGTGTCAGTGGGAGGAATAGTGCCCCATCATTTGTCAGTGGCAGGCCCGGAGGCATAGTGCCACATCATTGGTGTCAGTGGAAGGAATAGTGCCCCATCATTGGTATCAGTGGGAGGAAGTGCCCCATCATTAGTGTCAGTGGGAGGAATCAGTGCCCCATCATTGGTATCAGTGGGAGGAATAGTGCCCCATCATTGGTGTCAGTGGAAGTAATAGTGCCCCATCATTGGTGTCAGTGGGAGGAATAGTGTCCCATCATTGGTGTCAGTGGGAGGAATAGTGCCCCATCATTGGTGTCAGTGGCAGGCCCGGAGGCATAGTGCCCCATCATTGGTGTTAGTGGGAGGAATAGTGTCCCATCATTGGTGTCAGTGGGAGGAATAGTGCCCCATCATTGGTGTCAGTGGGAGGAATAGTGCCCCATCATTAGTGTCAGTAGGAGGAATAGCGCCCCATCATTGTTGTCAGTGGGAGGAATAGTGCCCCATCATTTGTCAGTGGCAGGCCCGGAGGCATAGTGCCACATCATTGGGGTCAGTGGAAGGAATAGTGCCCCATCATTGGTATCAGTGGGAGGAAGTGCCCCATCATTAGTGTCAGTGGGAGGAATCATGCCCCATCATTGGTGCCAGGGGGAGGAATAGTGCCCCATCATTGGTATCAGTGTGAGGAAGTGCCCCATCATTAGTGTCAGTGGGAGGAATCGCCCCCCATCATTGGTATCAGTGGGAGGAATAGCGCCCCATCATTGGTGTCAGTGGAAGGAATAGTGCCCCATCATTGGTGTCAGTGGGAGGAATAGTGCCCCATCATTAGTGTCAGTAGGAGGAATAGCGCCCCATCATTGGTGTCAGTGGGAGGAAGTGCCCCATCATTGATATCAGTGGGAGGAATAGTGTCCCTTCATTGGTGTCAGTGGGAGGAATAGTGCCCCATCATTGGTGTCAGTGGCAGGCCTGGAGGCATAGTGCCCCATCATTGGTGTTAGTGGGAGGAATAGTGTCCCATCATTGGTGTCAGTGGGAGGAATAGTGCCCCATCATTGGTGTCAGTGGGAGGAAAAGTGTCACTGACACCAATGAGGGGGCACTATTCCTCCCACACTGACACTAATGATGGGGCACTATTACTCCCACTGACACCAATTATATTTACATGGTTGTGCTGACCCCTGCTCCAGCCTGACTCCCTCCTTCAGGCACAGACACTTACCCATCAGCTGTCTTCCTTCTCTAGCCGCTCTCCTCCTCTTCACCGGCTCCAGCTGCTCCCTTACTTGATCTTCAATCTTCACGCTGCCACTCAGCTCCTCCTCTCCAAGCTCTGCCTCCTCGCCTGTGATTGGAAAGGGGGGGGCAGCGCTGTCGCCGTGCCGCCCCCCTGAAAAGTGCCGCCCTAGGCAAATGCCTTGTTTTCCTCGCGGCAAATACGCCCCTGGGACAAGTGAGGGGCAGTGGGACAGTAGGAGCGCAGTGGGACAAGTGAGGGGCAGTGGGACAGGAGGAGCGCAGAGAGACAGGTAGGGGGCAGCGTAATGGGGGGCATGGGACAGGATTGGGGCAGCGGGACAGGAGTAGCGCAGTGGGACAAGTGAGGGGCAGTGGGACAGGAGGAGCGCAGTGGGACAGGTGAGGGGCAGTGGGACAGGAAAAGGAGCACAGAGGGACAGGAGGAGCGCAGAAGGATAGGTGAGGGGCAGTGGGACAGGAGGAGCACAGAGGGATAGGTAAGGGGCATGGGACAGGATTGGGGCAGCGGGACAGGAGGAGCGCAAAGGGACAGGTGAGGGGCAGTGGGAGAGGAGGAGCGCAGAGGGACAGGTGAGGGGCAGTGGGACAGGAGGAGCGCAGAGGGACAGGTGAGGGGCAGTGGGACAGGAGGAGCGCAAAGGGACAGGTGAGGGGCAGTGGGACAGGAGTAGCGCAGAGGGACAGGTGGGGGGCAGCATGACGGGGGGCATGGGACAGGATCGGGGCAGCGGGGACAGGAGTAGCGCAGTAGGACAGGTGAGGGGCAGTGGGGACAGGTGGTGGGTAGTGGGACAGGTGGGGGGCAGTGTATCGGGGGGACAGTGAGACAGGAGTGGGGAAGCACCAGTCCTCCAAGCACTTACCTGTCCAGCAGCGGCTCCTCCAGATGGTGTCAGGATCACTCCAGGAGGGGCGCCTGTGCCCCTTCTCCCCCAGAATCTCCAGTGGCGGCTGCAAAAGAGCGGGCGGGCTCCTCCACCCTGACCCTCGTCCTTTTCTTCTTCCTCCTTCGCTGGCACCTTCTGGCCTTCCTGCACATCCCAGCGTGCACTGACAGCGGTTTCCGGCCCTCACGCACTCCGAGCGCACACCGATGATACGCCCACCACTCCGCTCTCCTCTGCACCCCTCCTCCAGCAGCGCCTTGTGGATCGGATCGACGTGGGACACGAAGTCAGGTAAGACACAGCAGCCCTTGTCCCTTTCCCATGGAAGTGTCCCTTCCGTGGGAAAGGGGGGGCGGCGCTGCCACCATGCCGCCCCCCTGAAAAGTGCCGCCCTAGGCTGTTTGCAGATACGCCCCTGGGCCCACTGCCAACCCAAAATCTGTATCAGGAAGCTATAGATTTAATTCCTTTTTTCAGCAAATGGTTTCCTCATCCTCCTGCCAGTGTGCTCTGCTCTCTAGAAGACCTCCGTCTTAGATGTATCGCGTGATAGGCTGATGGAGGGAATCCATGAAAAATGTCAGTCCGGCATTAAGCTAACTGGATGATCAAAGCATCCTGTCTGGCTTCCTCCTGTTCCCTTTAAATAAACACAAAATGACTGATTAGATTGGGAGTGTCTGGCTGTTTATTTTGAATCAAGTTCAGATGTTAGAATCATAAAGTGTACAGTATTGCTTTTCACTTTGGAATTGGAATTCCTTACTCTATCTTCCTTTTCCAGTTTTATGGTCCACCCAGATAACAGGGTTATAAGCAGACATAACAAAGGCTGAACAGGAAGGTTTGGGAGGACAAAAGAAAAAGGGAACATGGGCCTGAAACATCACCCTTAACAACCAAATAGATTTAAACTGTTAGATTCCAGCAGATTTACTACCACAAGCACTTCTACTAATTCTTGCCCTCTCCCCAGCCCATTTGCCTGGCTAACCTGTGGGTGGGAGCCATCTTACTCGTGCACATGGGGCCTTTACTCTTTCTCTTCCTCCGGTGTATGGGCCCAATAGTGCCTGGGCCCTGGTGGGGCCTTGTTTATGTAAACTTAAGGCAGTTCCTCGAATTAAAAAAGAGCCATACTCCCAGTGCAACTGTATCATACCCTGAGGCTTTTAAAATACAATATATTAGTCTCGCGCTCCACTGATGAACATATATAAAGTATATATAATCCCCAAACTTAAAAGTCTTTTCAAAGATTTATAAATATCTCTTCCAGAATTTTAAACAAAGTGTCCATAGTACATCCGTGATCATCATGCACTCCTTTCAGTGATGTGAACAAACCAACTTATACTTGATTCATCTTTAATGTGTTGTCATGACAACCATGCGTGCACCTTCACCAGTTGTGCTCTCACCTGGTAAATATGACCAAACCGTTAAGTGAGGTCATAAATAGCTTGTGTCCCTTAAGTGGACTGTGGTTGTATGGGATTGTTATCCTAAAGGGTTTGGATTCTCTCACTTCCTTAGAACTCTTCCTCCATTGGTCCGTGTGCCATAAGAAATAATCATAACATAGTGCTTTATCCTCTTTTTAAAACATTTATTAATACACTATATTACACTCACATGCAACTCATGGGGCCCCCGGGCAATAGGGGATCATGGGGCCCCTGTGTCCTTGCCCACACTCAAAAAAGCCTATAAAAAAGGTACCAGGGGCATTTCATGGGGCCCCCTACTGGCCCTCTATTTATTATTATTATTATACAAGATTTATATAGCGCCAACAGTTTGCTCAGCGCTTTACAATATAATGGGAGACAATACAGCAACAATACAGTTAAATACAAGAGGGTTAGGAGGGCCCTGCTCCTTGGAGCTTACAATCTAAGAGGGAGGGGCTAGTGGTACAAAAGGTAGTAACTGTAGGGGATGGACTGGTAGGAGGAGAAGAAGATTCCATTATTAGCTGAGGGCAGGATAGGCTTCCCTGAAGAGATAGGTTTTCAGAGATCACCTAAAAGTAAGCAGAGTAGGCGATAGTCTGATAAATTGGGGTAGAGAATTCCAGAGGATGGGGGAAGCTCTGGAGAAGTCCTGGAGACAAGCATGGGAGGAGACAAGGGAGCTAGAGAGCAGGAGGTCATGCGAGGAGCAGAGAGTAAGGTTTTGGTAATATTTGGAGACCAAATATCTCTCAAAATGTCTGAAATAGTAAATTTTTTTACTGTTTTTCAGTGCATTCTGGGCATTTTGGAAGGTCTCCTGAGGCTATCTTTAAGAAACGCAGCATGCAAACGTGGCTAAACAGACGTTTTTTAATCTACGTTTTCCAGCAGTCAGTTTCCATCATTCAGAAGTGTTTTTTCCAAACGTCCCATGTACATGGAGCCTTACTGTAATAGGGAAAGTAGTAAGTGGTGGCTATGCAGTGTGGTAGGAGCAGAGGCGGACTGACAACTCATGGGGCCCCCCGGGCAATAGGGGATCATGGGGCCCCTGTGTCCTTGGCCACACTCAAAAAAGCCTATAAAAAAGGTACTAGGGGAATTTCATGGGGCCCCCTACTGACCCCGGGCCCTCGGGCAGTGCCCGAGTGCTCGAATGGTCAGTCCGCCCCTGCTCACATGTACATGCTGTAAAACCACTGTTATAATATTCCAAACAATCGCTAGCAGCCCAAAGTTGTGTACTTACCATTAGCTGTCTGTCTCCTTCCACATGAGCGTCGTGACGTCAGAGACCCTTCCTTATGCGTTGCGCTACCGGGTCACATGGCTTCATCAGGGGGAAGTCCCGTGAAGGTGCATGCATGGTTGTTATGACAACACATTAAAGATGAATCAAGTATAAGTTGGTTTGTCCACATCACTGAAAGGAGTGCATGATCACGGATGTACTATGGACACTTTGCTTAAAATTTTGGAAGAGATATTTATAAATCTTTGAAAAGACATAAGTTTGGAGATTATATATACTTTATATATGTTCATCAATAGAGCGTGACACTAATTTATTGTATTTGCATATTGATGACACATTTGTATAGGTGTGGGTATGGTGTAGGCCAGTGGTCGGCAAGCCGCGGCTCGCGAGCCACATGCGGCTCTTTACAAACTTAAATGCGGCTCTTCTGTGTGCCGGGCGCCCGCTCCCCTCCCTCCTCTCGGGCGGCCGCCCCCCTCCCTCCTCTCGGGCGCCCGCTCCCCTCCCTCCTCTCGGGCGGCTGCCCCAAAAGTCAGGACTCTGCAGCTGTCAGGATGTAGGCGGGGCAGCCAGGATGTAGGCAGGGCAGCGTGACGAACTCCTCTCCTCTCACAGTCCGCCCTGAAGACCAGAACGGCACGAGAACACGGCGAGAAGAACGCGCGGAGCAAAGGTAAGTGAATTGACACAGGGGGACTTGGGGACTTCATATGGGGGATGAATTACTATATGGGGGATGAATTACTATATGGGGGATGAATTACTATGGGGGATGAATTACTATATGGAGAATGAATTACTATATGGGGGATGAATTACTATGGGGGATTAATTACTATGGGGGATGAATTACTATATGGGGGATGAATTACTATAGGGGGGATGAATTACTATAGGGGGGATGAATTACTATAGGGGGGATGAATTACTAAGGGGGATTAATTACTATATGTGGGATGAATTACTATATGGGGGATGAATTACTATGGGGGATGAATTACTATATGGGGGATGAATTACTATGGGGGATGAATTACTATATGGGGGATGAATTACTATAGGGGGGATGAATTACTATGGGGGATGAATTACTATGGGGGATGAATTACTATATGGGGGATGAATTACTATATGGGGGATGAATTACTATGGGGGATGAATTACTATATGGGGGATGAATTACTATGGGGGATGAATTACTATGGGGGATGAATTACTATATGGGGGATGAATTACTATATGGGGGATTAATTACTATATGGGGGATTAATTACTATGGGGGATGAATTACTATATGGGGGATGAATTACTATATGGGGGATAAATTACTATGGGGGATGAATTACTATATGGGGGATGAATTTTCAGTTTTAAAAATGTGGCTCTCAAAATAAATTTCAATCGTGGTTTTGGCGAGATTTGGCTCAGTTGAAAAAAAAGGTTGCCCACCACTGGTGTAGGCGATCTACTGTTTCTACTTATTACTTTTTGCCATTAATTTTGGCACTAATAATTGTATAGGTATCATAGCAGCTCACAAGGCTACATTTATTATTTATACTTTGAGGTTTTACTGCATATGCTATGTCCCACCTGTACACCTGTGCTTGAAATGTGACATTTTGAAGGAGACACCAGGGAGCAATGTCCCGTTCCATTGGTCCAGCTCTCCTATCACCTCGCTCCGAGCAATAGAATGCAGGTTCTGCCATGAGACTGCGTGAACCTCCTGCGTGCAAGACCTAACTTGGTTAACTCTTTTGTAACTGCAGTTAGGTCCCTAAGATCTCCACCAGGTGGATGCGGTCCCAGTTAGCTGGGGCTCTGACCACTTGGGAAGGAAACATCACAGCACTTCCCTCAATATTGCTGTCTGGCTGCCATATCATTGCCTTGTGTTGGTTACTCTTAGTAACTACATGTCCTCCTCTTCGCCCCATGTGTGTGCAACAGGTCCTGTTCTTTGTGATACGTCTTATACCACCATGCATCCCTTTGCAACGACTTCAGTCCAGGCATGAAACTGGAAATTTACTGAGAATTCTCAACAGTGAATTAACAGTCTTTTTCTAGCTAACTAAACATAGACTACCCCATGCATACCTTCCTAGGTAAAAGTCAACAGTGTTGAAGAGTCGTTTTTCCAGGGGGATCTCCCCAAAAGGAGGTCGGAATGTGGCTGATGGCTACATTTTTCTGCTCTCCCCTTATGTCATGCAGGCCATGGCTCTCAGCTCTGAGCAGAGTCCTCCCCTTTTTATTAGCAGCACAGGGAGTGGGGCAGAGCCCAGAAAGCATGGGAGAATGCAGAACCTGGCTTAACCCCTTCCCACCTAGGCAGCCTAACTATCTGCTTAGTGCAATCACAATATTGAGAAGAACACAGGAATTTTGCAGTGGAAGCAAGGGTTAAAAATACACACAGACACCCTGTAAGCACCTGCTTACATAGCTGAGGCCCATGCTACACTAGTAATCCTCTCGTTGTTGCTCGTTGTCCAAGATGCTGAAAATTTTCACTCATCGGCAAGGAAGCAGCAATAGAGCAACACCTTGCTGGTTTAGAGAGAGAAGAATGATATCCCTTCTTAGGATTCATTGACATTCATTCATTGATGCCCATCTGAAAAAGAGTCTGGGGTGGATTACTATTTGGAGGGTGTTGAAGAGCGGAAATGTCACCTTCTCACTACTTGCTTTAGCCCTCAAAATCTTGTGCCACAACATAAGGGCTCATGTTTGACAGTAGAACTGCCTGCATAAATTTACTCTGCATTTAAAGCAGAACTTCACCCAAAACGGGGAGTTCCACTTTAAGGCCTCGTCCACTGCTCCCTGTTAAGGATTGGCACCTTTAACCGCTTCCTGACTGCACTATAGCAGAACTACTGCTACAGGGCGGCAGGGCTGCACAAAATTTATGTGATTTTGTATTTTCGGGTAGGAGGCGCGCGCACATTGCCCTACCCGCGCTGCCATTGGCGGTTACGGCTGTAGAACACCAGGTCCCAGCCAGAGATTCCCTGTTGGCACCCAGCAATCGCCAAAGAGCAATGACGGGAGAGGTCTGTATGTAAGCAATACAGATCTCTCCCCTGTCAGCACCAGCGGTGGGCGCCCAATTGTGAAGCTGCAAGCTGTCACAGCTAGGTGCCCACTCTTAAGATGCTGGTGCCAGGGACACTGGACGTCCATGAAGAAAAGAATTATGGTTGTGGCATGGCAAGTGGCTGCATTGCTTTGTTTGGGCAGACAGTCAGGGGATGGTAGAACTGTGGCTCAACAGCCTGCTTCTGGCTAAAACCCCAACCCAACCCCCGGCCACCCACATGAAGCGATTTGTGATAAATTTATTTAGAAGCTATTTCAAACAAATGATTCATTAATTAAAATTTTAAAAGGTGTAACATAGTGTTGTTTCCATGCTTTGTGATTATGTGAAAATATTGATAGAATATACAGTATATCCATAACAAAGTTACAGTTGTGCTCAAAAGTTTGCACACCCTGGCAGAAATCATTAATTTTGGCTTTGATTTTGGAAACATGAGTGACTAAGTCGAAAAACTGTCTTTTATTTAAGAATTTTGATCATATGAAGCCATATATTATCACATAATTGTTTGGCTCCTTTTTAAATCATAATGATAAGAGAAATCACCCAAATGGCCCTGATCAAAAGATTACATTTCCTGGAGTGTTTGGCCAAGGTACAGACACACAAGGTGACACACACAGATTAAAATGACAATTAAAGGTTATTTTTCTACATCTGTGACTTTTTAAATTGAAATTTAGCAGTCAGTACTGCACAATCATGTAATAAGAAGTGGAAAATTCGAGGATCTCTTAATACCAAGCCAAGTACAGGTAAAGCAAGAATGATTGCAGCCACAACTGTTAGAAGAAATATTTTGGGGGAAAAACCCACAGATAACCTCAGGAGAAATAAAGGCTGCTTTTGAAAAAGAGTGCTTGTTCTGAAGGAGCATAATACAACAATACTTGAACAAAAATGAGCTGCATGGCTGAGTTTCCAGAAAGAAGCCTTAACTGTGCCAATGCCACAAAACAGGCTGGTTACAAAATGCCTGACAACACCTTGACATGCCTCACCAGGCTTTTTTGTATATGGTATATTGTATATGGTTAGCATCAGCAATCCTGCCACTGGTTGTCACCACCAATAGAATTAATGTAACATTGACCTTAGTATTGCACTAACAAGCTCAGATGTCATAACCAGACAAGGCATGCCAAGTCTGGAGGTGGAGAGGCTGTAAATGACAGTTTGTCCAATCTGTGTCAGTACACCTAAACCCAGTGACTAGAAGAGCTGGACAGATGCTCACCGGACTGTACTGGAAGCTCAGATCTAGGTGTACAGACCCAAAGTGGGTGAACTGGAAGAATGCAATGCACCAAGGAAATCACACAGACTGTGCAGTGCCTGCAACAATGAGGACCAAAATGTATCGGACAGGCTGGCAGGCTGGAGCCTACTATACAAATTAATGTTTTACATGTGTAATGGATGGATGGGTTCTGCCTCTGTAAGCCTTGTCTACCTAGGCCACAGTCTAGGTGGCTATTCAGGAATCTAGTGCTAACCACATATTTGATCCAGAGATTCCTGCATTTTTTTCTTTTAGACTCTTTCATAAATGAGTCTCATTAGGATATCTGTGGGCAGGCCCGGACTGGGGGGATAGCAGTCAGGTGTTTGCTGGGGCGGTTAGTGACAGGATATTCACAGAGTTCGTTCTGCACACTGTAATGTAAAGGGCACTGTGATATAAAGGGGACTGCACTGTAAAGGGGCACTGCATTGATTACAATGCAGTCACCTTTATATCACAGTGAATATCCCATCACCAACCGCCTCTGCGAATGCCCCCTATCTCAGTGCCACTTGAAGTCATGCTCCCTCCCCCATTTCTCTCTAATCACAGTGCCTCCTATATATTCAGCAAAGAGATGGCTCAATCCAGCAAAGAGAGATCCCATTCCAGCAA